ATCTATCTATCTATCTATCTATCTATCTATCTATCTACCTACCTACCTACCTACCTACCTACCTACCTACCTACCTACTAATCAATCAATCAAAATCAATTTATATAGCTGCCCATCTCACCACAGGTGACTCTGGGTGGCGTACAACAAAGCTAAAAAACAGTAAAACACATTAAAAATATATAAACAAAATAAAACAGAATAAAAAGTTAAAAATAAGGGAGCCACCTCACTAATTCCCTGTCCCCTGAAGTCCCCAGGCCTGCTGGCATAACCAAGTCTTCAGGGACCTCCAGAAGTTCAACAAAGAAGAGGCCAGTCTTACCTCAAGGGGGAGAAGATTCCACAGCACAGATGCCACAGCAGAAAAGGTTCAGAGTTCTGAAATATCATTCAGAACTCAAGATAGTGCTGTCTCATTGAGCTATCTGCTTGAAGTTCTGATTTATATGGATTGAGGAGGCTGTTTGGAAGACAAATGAGGAATTAATTGTGAGACAGCAGCTCTTTCAAGTTATAAAAAGGAAGCAGACACAGGCTGGTAGCTTGAACATGAAGAAGGTTCCAGAGGCGGTTTCTTCAACAGAGGACAAAGAAAACTGTATTTCAAAGAGTCTTGAAAATTGTCAGTGGTTAAAGAACAATTCAACAGTCAGATAACACAGGACAGAAAAACAGGTAAAAGAGTAGGAGGCAGGCCGGAAAGGGATCAGCCAGGGAGTAGCATAACCCTTCCAGGTTTTTGAAATTCTTTCTCTGAGACAGGAGTGTATTCAAATACCATAAGGTAAAAAACCATAAAAAAGGTGGTGGAGGAGAGCTGGTGAAACGAAAATAAGAACAGCGTTTGCCATTTTGTTAGAGAAGAATTCTTGCAAGCTTTCAACTGAAGGCATATTCTCCAACACAACAGTAAAGAGAACCAGTAGAGAATGAAAGATAAAGAAGAGGCCTGGGACTGAATGGAGCCTGAAAGAGGCCTGCTTTGCCTCTGACAGGTGAGATAAGGCACTTCCCAGATACCTTTCTAGCCCTCTAACCAGAACCCTCTCTCTCCTCAGAGCTGCAGATCTTCATGGCCGGGGCGGCCTGGCACAGGTTTACAATCAGGAGTATCTCAGTCCAGAGGAGTTTTTTTGATATCAAAGGTATAACTACAGGAGTTAAAGGATCAGCAGTGGTAGATTCTATGGAATAGGAAGAGGGGGAGGCAGAGGGGGAAAAATGCAAAAAAAACCAACAACCAAACCCTGAGAGATGTCTCTAAAACTACAGGTGAAAATGACTCACATGAGATAACATGAATAATCACACAATATGCAGTTCCTGTTAGGTGGAAGTTGAGGTGGCAACAATTGAATTATGAGTTTCATTAAAAAGCCTGAGTACTTTGAAATATTGGGGGGGGGGGGCTTTGTTCTAACCATTCTCCCCACATCATATATAATTTAACTATCATTTACACATTTTCCTCATGACCCCCTTACTTGCTTTTTTCCTAAACTAAGAAGCCCTAAAACTTCGTTTGCAGAATTTCTGTAGTCCCTCAATCATTTTGATTATCCTGTTATGCACCTTTTACAATATTTTTTTCAGCATTCTTTCAGAGGTTGGTATATTCTAAGGGTGGTTGTGTCATAGATTCATACAAAGGCATCATGACATTGGTAGTTTTATTTTGGGTTTCATTCCTAATTACCCTCAACATGAAATTTTAGCCTTCTAGAGTAAATACACACTGAACTGATTTTTTTCCTTGAGCCTGTGCACTGTAATTCCAAGATTCCTGCCTGACAATATTAGCACAAGCCCCTCAGTGAATCTGTGGTTAGCAATTTTTGCCTCAACCAGCATCACATTATACTTGGTTATGTTCAGTCAAATTTTAATTTAATGGTAATTTTTTTTTTCTGTTTGGAAAGATGCTTTTGGAGTTCTTTGCTGTCATTAGCGAATTTTACCATCTCACTGCTCACCTCTAATTCCAGAACACTTGTGAGCAAGTAAACAAGCATTGGTTTCAGTACAGCTCTTGGAAGGGAGGGGCACTATTTACATTCCCCATTATGAGAACTTTCAATTTATTCTTGTTCTCTGCTTCTATTCATTATAAATTATTGATTCAGAAGAGGAATCCTCTCTTATCTCATGACTACTTTGTTTGCTGAAGTCTTTTTAAATGAGATACATCATCAAAACAATTTCACATCTGAGCAGTTTTAAGAATTCTTCGATGGACAGCATCAGGAGTGGGCGGCTTGTTTGTTTTCAGCTTGTCAATTAGCTTTAGATGGAATTCCTTCTCTTGACACCATTCTTTGCCTCGGCAGCTCAGATTCTGTTTCTAAAAATGTCAGTTCAGGGACAGTGTCTTATCTTTTTCTTCTGCAGTGAAAACAAAAGCAAAGAATTCATTTAACTTCTCAGTCTCAGAATCCTTTCCCTTTCTGTTGTTATGCAATAGATTAGCTGCTTCCACTAGCGGGTTCCTTGAATCGTGTCTATGTGTATTTAAACTGGGTTCATACCTCATGCTAAGGCAAGACCTACAGACTACAGTGGCTGGGTTCACCCACCAGCTAAAACAAAAACAAAACATGTTATGGCTTAGCACAATGTATAAACCAATTCCTTTAACTGGCTGCAATTTCAACAGTAGAATGTCGCTGAACTTCAGTTCCAAGCAGCCCCAGTCAGCATGGCTAATGATGAGGGATGCCAGAGGTTATACTTCAACACCTGGAGGGACCCAGGTTCCCTGCCTTGGTTCTGCAAAATGCTTATAGCCTATGTCTGCCCATCTGAACAATCAAAAAACATAATTGGCCTTCATCTCCAGGGGATTACTCTTCTCAAGCATGAAGCTGTTGGCCTCATCTGGCCATAGCTAAGAATTCATTCTTTGCTGGTAGGAAAGAAAGAATTGATAATTTGATACTTTGTTTATATTGCAGTTGTTTATGAGATGGTCCTTGCTTGATTAGCACTCAGACCAACAGTGCTATAGTGACTTTCTGGTCATACTCATTTTTTAAAGTCATAAATTGATGTAAAAAACAAAATGATAAGACAAATAAGAAAACCTCCACACCTTATTCCAGCCTCCCTCCATCTTCTTTATTATGTTCTAATCTGTCCATAGCAAATACCTTAGAGTAAGGTCATAGAATTGCAGAAGGGAGCTTCTTTGTTAGAAGTTGGAGATGAGCTAGTTCTTCCATTCATTTTTCTCTTCCCAAGCTCCTTAGTGTTTGAGAATTATAACCCCCAAGAGCAGCAGTGTCCTTGGATGTGTGTGTCAAATAGACAAGTTCAAAGCCCCACCCCTTTGTATGTGCATATGACTTTGCAATGGTACAATTGCCATCTTGCCTGTTTTGACCCCGTCCCCACCTATGTATACTACTGCCCTAGAGTAAGGTGGGCAAACTTTTTCTCCTGTCAAGAACATTCCCACTGAGTAATTTTCTAGGGCCGCATGCCAGTGTTGGATAAATCATCCAACTAATATCTTACCAATTTTACTTTCTCTTTTGGTTTCTGAACTTTGTTTCCTTTTCCCCCTACACGATAAACTTTTGGAATTAACAGCTCTTGATGACTATCAACCATACTATCCTTCTGAACCGTCTGATACGATTAATGTTTTGTGGTAGTTCCGGTCCTTCCTGTTGAGCTGTGTCCAGAAAGTGGTGTTGAGAGATTGCTATTTAACATCTAGTTTTTGAACTAAGGTTCTATTTTGTCCCCATGCTGTTGAATATCTAAATGAAAGTGCTGCTGAAGATCATTTGGAGTTTTTAAGAGGGGTGCCATCAGTATGCTGATAATGTCCAATCCTTCTGTTTCATACCATCTAACTCCAAGAAAGCAATCAGTGCCCTTCAACGTTGTCTGAACTTTATAAAGGGCTAGAAGAGGAAGAACAAAAATAATTTAAGATAAGATAAAGGTGGTGATGATCAATAAGAAACTGGACTTGGGGATGAAGGTTTAGACTTTTTGGATAGGGGTTGTACTACCCTTAAAAGAGCAGGTTTACAGTCTGGGAGAACTATTAGATCCTCAGTTGTCACTGGAGGGCAGGTGGGAGCTATGGCAAGGAGTATATTTTAAAAATTCCAGCTACTGTGCCAGCTTCTATAGTTCCTTACTGGTTTGGAAATATATTCCACTCTTGGTTATATACCTTATTGATACATTAAAAATGTCAGGAACTAGCAAGTTAAGCTGTTAGCTGGTGCAAGGTATGGGAATAGTGGCGCTGAAGATTGGCCCTGGTTGCTAATTGCAGGTACAGTTTAAAATGTTGGTATGGACCCCTAAAATGCTAGATGGTTTAGAGCCTAGCCTTCTGTACATCTGTTAAGACATTTGGTTCTGCAGGCAGGGTCTTCTGAAGGTGCCCTACTGTCAGAACTTGTGTATCTGGTATGCAGGAAAAGGCTTTATCCTGGGTTACTCCCAGACTGTGGAATGCACTCCTCAGTAATTGCATTTGACTCCCACTCTCTTCTAGCCAAGACATTTTTATTTTGCCAGGCTTTTAATCGTTCATTGGTGGCTGCATTCGTGTTAGCTTATATTTCTAAAAGCTTCCTTTAGTATCCCATAGTTTATTTATGTTAAGCTTGAATGCTGAAATTGTCTAGAAAGATATAATAATCTGTGAGTTAGACTGGATTACACTGGATTACAGGTTGCTTTGTGTTGCCTTAGAGAGCCAGGCTCAAAAGTAAGCTTTTTTCATATTCTTCCCCTCTTATTTGGTATCCTGTCTGTACCATTAGATGGGAGCAATAGTGAAGCCTTACTTGATTCTTTATTGAAACTGAGTTGCATGGATCCAGACTTGAATTACATAAATTCCTGATCATTAGCGTTAGGTTTTGCACAGAGCACTCAATCTAATTCCTCAGTCATTTGAATAGCAACTGGTTTATCACTTTCCATAAATTAATTTGGGGATCACCTTAATAGTTATATTCTCATGACAAGATCTTAGCTAAGTGATACTTAATCTGTTACCATCCAAATGTACTAGCTTTACAGTGTCCAGAATTCCTTTGGTCACGCTAGCCAGGAATTCTGAAAGTTGTCTTGGCGACACTTCTGGAAGGCACCCAAATAGAAATGCTGTTTTAGTCTAGTACAACCTGCTTTTTGTTTAAGGACAGGGTGTTGGGGTTAGATTTGTCTTTTGCCTGTTGGTTTCTGCAAAATATATAAGGAGAATGAATCTTCAGCAAATTTTTATCTGGAATTCTCTGGTAGTATATATAACGTTAATGAGTTTGTTCATAGCCGCTGTATCACACCATTAGTGAATACCATTATGTCATCGAAAGCTTCAGCGGAGTCTTCTAGCTTTTAAGCTATGAATAACTTCTCAGCTTTTAGCTTGTTCATTAGAAATGCTTTAATATTGAAGAAAAATCTCTTTGGTTTTCATTTGCCATTTAAGTTTTGTGTGCTTGGCCTAGCAATGTCTTTTTGATGAAATTTCAGCTTTATTGCAAACAGTCTGTACCTTTTTATGAAAGTGCTTCTGGTTCTGGAAGGCCAAAACTGGGTCTTTATATCACTCCAGTGCTATGTGTTGTGCCTATTTAACCAGAGACTTAGGAAGTGTAGAAACAAATGCTGGTTTACACTTTTTATTTTCCACTTCACAGCTAAAAGCACCAGCGCACAGGTACATATGCATACCTATTTGACTAAGTTTATCTGGCCAGGATAGGTTTGCATTACAGAATAAATTGAGGCAGGGTGGCCATCATGCACTGTATCTCTTTCTGTCTGATGTCTCTAAGATGTTATAGTTCCCATTGACTTTTATAACTTCCGGAAAGGCACTCTTCTATTGCCTTTCCATTTGAGTATCATTGCTTCGTTCAGTCCTTCATGTTTTGGGAGCTATCAGAGTGGTACATACAGTCCACTTTCCCTTCAGCGCTCAGAGCAGAGAGATTCAGATGTTTCATTAGGTCATGCCCCGATGTACAGTACTTTACGTGACTTCCACCACCACCCTCTTGGGGAGGGGCGAAATTTCTCTGTTTTTACACAGTGAATATCCTGTCTGGTGCTTTCAGTTAGATTGACCACCAGGAAGCACTGTGTGACTGTTTTTGTCCTTAATGGGATTCCTCAGATGTGGGTAGATATTATAGTATATACATTATATCCTTGTTTGGGGAGCTATCTCTTCTTTGGGGAATTTCTTCATGTTTTGAGAACCATCTGTGGTTGTTTCTTAGTAATCTTCATTCTGGTAGTTTTCCACATGGTGTATATTCTTAAATGTTTCAGAACAAACCTTTCTTCTTCTATGGTTTCCTTTGAGTGAGCGTTATATATTCCATTTTTCATTCACAACATCACACAAATACAGTACATGACACAAGGTGTGCATGTGTATCTACAAGAACCAAACAGCTACAAACTAATGCGTATGATAATAACATAGCAATGCTGGTAACGATATGTCATACTTCTCTGTATCCTGCTGTATTACAGTTCTCTTATTTGGAGGAGTACCCTGAGGCAGTCTGCTAAAACAATAGTTATAGTATACATTCCTGGATAACAAATATACTGTTCTTTTTGTATGATCAGTATTTTTCTTGTGGATATGATAATACCATTGTTCAAATCAGGGGCTGCCATAACATTTTTGTTCATTTGGCAAGCTTCTAATACATCTGCTTTCCATGCTAGTAGCCTTATAGTGTAGCACAGTGTTTCTCAACCCTAGCAATTTTAAGATGTGTGGTCTTAAAGTAGCCAAGGTTCAGAAACACAGGTGTAGCACTTCTCCAATAATCTGTGTATCAAAGAAGTATATTGCCAAAATTTCAGGGGAAAAAAATGTCTAAATTTAGTTCCCTTTCCTTGGGCATTGCAAGTGGATCCCCAGTTAAATTCTCTCTGGCTGTGCTCCTAACAATTATGTGGAGAAAATTAGTAAAATCAGAAGACAGTTTAGGGGATTAGAAGGGAAGAATAGTCTTTTGAGTATTCCTCAGAGTAAAACAAAATCCCAAACAAAAACAGAACAAAAGCAAATGTGGCTGAAAGTAAACAAAAAGCAAAATCAAGCAATTATCTTGCTTCTTTCCTTGCTTTGTTAGTTTATTGTTGCAGGACATTTTTAATGAATAGGAGAATTCAAAATAATAACATTCTCATCATGAGGCCATATAATAAATGTTACCAAGTTTTTAGCTGCTTCTGTAAACTAGGGCATGCCTGTCACATTTTTCCTATGACAAAAGAGATCACTAGAAAACTGAACTGCCATTAAGTAATGTTTTGGTTTCTTTTGTAGTTTTTAAACAAACCCCATTTTGGGGAGATTATTTTCATAAAGTTCCCTCCCCCCCCCCCCGAATCCTATTAGATTGAAGCTGAATGTGCACTATAATTACTTGAAGAGAAGAAGATAAGAAATTTGGTGTTTGGATCTGTTTGGAAGATTAGAAAGGACTCTAAATCTGTGTGATTCAAAGCAGAGCATCTACAGAACTTTCACCCACACATCCATGCAGCAGAAAGTCTGAAGAAAACACTTCATTTGACTCAAGGAAAATAAACCAAGTTAAAAATAAACCAAGAGTTACATAGGTTTCCCATAGGGATACCTACCTCTGATTTAGAATTCACTTTTTGCTATGGATTTGGGAGACTGCAGAGTTCATCAGTGGATGTCCAGTGGTTTCTTATACCTGAGAGGTCCTTCCAAATTGTTCTCAGTCTCATCTTCTTCCCAGTGCAATATGGAAGCAATAATGCCAACCTGTCTTACAAGGTCATTAAAAGTATATTTCTTATATCAGTTTTAATACTAAAAATACCAAGTATTAAGAGTAGTAAGTAACTGAAGTGCTGAGCTACATCAGAATTTTATTCCTTTCTAGCAATAAATCTGAAATGAAATAAACAATTGCTATTATTGTTCATATTATTGTATCATATTAAAGCACTAATAAAATAAGGCATAAAAATGCAAAAATGCAAATGTGTCTTCTCAGTATTTTCACTTAAGCAATCTCCAGGTTTGTGTTTAGGCATTTTAGTGCCTTATATACAATCCTTAAACAAAGGAGTTGTTCACAATTAGCTTGTTTTTCTCCAGATTTTTTAATTTATATAACATAGGGTATTTAATAATTCAGCTGTATTTTCTAACTGAAGCTGTAATGTCACTGCAGTAAAAGAGCTAATTTCTGTAACATTCAAGAACTGGCCTTGGAGAATCCAATGCATTTCATGTATTTGTTTGTGGCACTGGGATTTAATGAGGGCAATTTTCAGATCTAGGAAAGAAAAAGAGTTTTTAAAACATCTTGCTAGGACTACGTTGTCAGTGACTTTTCAGAGCACCAATACAATTTTCCACATGTGACACATTGGTTGACAACTGAAGAATGACTGCCTGAAATGATGAGGAAAAAATATACTGTAGGACAAAACTGAATACTACCGAGTCTTAATACAGAATATTAGGTGGGGCAGGAATGAGGAACAACCTAACAGGGATGTAGAGGAGAGACATTGCTTGATCTACAGGTACAGTGACCGTATGTCCTTTATTATAAAGGACAGTCTTTTATTTCAGAAAGCTGTCCTTTAGATTTATTTAATTTAATTATTTATTTTCTTGGT